CTTCTGATATCAGCCTCCTGAGTAGCTACAATTAGGGTGTGAGCTACCAGCACCTAGCCCTAATTAGTTTTTAATTAATAAAAGGAAATGGTTTTATTTATTTTTTTATTTTTTGGGTCCGGTCATGGGGCCTGAACTCTGGGCCTGGGCACTGTCCCTCAGCTCTTCAGCTCAAGTCTAGCACTCTACCACTTGAGCCACAGCGCCACTTCCAGCTTTTTTCTTTTTGCTTATGTGGTGCTGAGGAATTGAACCCAGGGCCTCAGGCATGCAAGGCAAGCACTCTACCACTGAGCAACCTTCCCAGCCCCAGGAAATGGTTTTAAATACCATCTTTTTTTTTTTCTTTCTTTCTTTTTTGTCAGTTGTGGGACTGGCCTGGATGCTGTCCCTCAGCTCTTCAGCTCAAGGCTTTCACTCTTTTTGGTTGTGGGGCTTGAACTCTGGGCCTGAGCGCTGTCCCTCAGCTCTTCAGCTCAAGGCTAGCACTTTACCACTTGAGCCACAGCAACACTTTTGGTTTTCTGGTGGTTAATTGGAGATAAGAGTCTCATGGACTTTCCTGCCTGGGCTGGCTTTGAACCATGATCCGCAGATCTCAGCCTCATGAGTAGCTAGGATTACAGGCATGAGCCACCAGTGGCTGGCTTTAAATGCCATTTCTCATCCCCACTTTTTACCTCTTCAACAGTGAGGTAATTCTACTTCATCTTTCCTTTCTCTCATTTTTTTGCTTAGCTATTCCAAATTTTCAGAGCATGTAACACATTTATACTATTGCAAAGGAAGGAAGTTTTTTCACCCATTGAAAATTAATGGCTGAGAACTCTGAAATAGAAAGTAAATTTCACAAGACAGAAGGATATAGTTTTGTGTCACATAAATTTTACAGGAAACAACAGCCTTCACAAAGGAAGACCACAGGGAAACATGGGCTTTCAAGCTTACATTGATGAAATGTCACCAGTCATGGAGGAGTAAGACAAAAGGGTGTGATCTATTAGGGAAAAATTACAAGAATTTAGTAAGACCTGTTTATTCACATTCTTTTCTATATTCCTACTTCTGAGATAAGTATATTGTTTTCTTTTAGTTCTTGGAAGATTGCCTCTCCAAGGAGGATTTTACAATTTGCCTCCAGGATAAAGATTGAAAGGAATGTGAGAGTGACCTTCCTGCTTCTGCTATACTACTAAAGCTAAGGTGCCAAATTGCAGGTACAAAAGAGCATGTCCTACTAGGAGCTGGTGGCTCACGCCTATAATCCTAGCTACTCAGGAGGCTGAGATCTGAAGATCGTGGTCCAAAGCCAGCCCGAGCAGGAAAGTCTGTGAGACTCCTATCTTCAATTAACCACCAGAAAACTGGAAGTGGCGCTACGGTTCAAGTGCTAAAGTGCTTGTCTTGAGCTGAAGAGCACAGGGACAGCACCCAAGCCCAGAGTTCAAGTCCCACAACCGACCAAAAAAAAAAAAAAATGTCTCAAGGACTTCCCTGGACTTGACTGAAACCACAATCCTCAGATCTCAGCCTTGGTTGGTTATGGTTTCCCTTCATAAAGAAAACTTACCTCGGGGCTGGGAAGGTATCTCAGTGGTAGAGTGCTTGCCTTGCATGCATGAAGTTCGATTGCTCAGCACCACATAAGCAGAAAAGGCTGGAAGTGGCGCTGTGGCTCAAGTCGTAGAGCACTAGCCTTGAGCTAAGAAGCTGAGGGACAGTGCCCAGGCCCAGAGTTCAGGTCCCATGACTGGCAAAAAAAAAAAGGAAAAAAAAAAAGAAAACTCACCTAGAACTGGACGCTAGTAGCTCACACCTGTAAGCCTAGCTACTCAGGAGGCTGAGATCTGAGGATCACTGTTTAAAGCCAGCCTGGGCAGGAAAGTCTGAGAGACTCTTCAATAAACCACTCAGAAAACTGGAAGTGGCACTATGACTCAAGCGGTAGAGTGCTTGCCTTGAGCTGAAGAGTGCAGGGATAGCACCCAAGTCCAGAGTTCAAGCCCCATGACTAACAACAAAAAAAAAGGGCTGGGAAGGTGGCTCAGTGGTAGAGTGCTTGCCTTGCATGCATGAGGCCCTGGGTTTGAGCTGAGCGCCCAGACCCAGAGTTCAGGCCCCACAACCAGACCCAAAAAAAAGAAAAAGAGAAAGAAAAGTCATCTGTGTAATAATCCCTGATGTTTTTGTTTGTTTGTTTTTTCTGTTGGTCATGGGGCTTGAACTCTGGGCCTGAGCGCTGTCCCTCAGCTCTTCAGCTCAAGCCCACTTGAGCTACAGCACCACTTCCAGTTTTCTGAGTGGTTTATTGGAGATAAGAGTCTCATGGACTTTCCTGCCCTGACTGACTTTGAACCATGATTCTCAGATCTCAGCCTCCTGAGTAGCTAGGATTACAGGCAAGAACCACTGGCACCTGGCTTAATCCCTGATGTTTTCCATACTGAAAACTTGGTTGGATGCTGGGCACCAGTGGTTCATGCATGAAACACTAGTTACTCGGGGGCTGAGATCTGAGGATAGCTGTTTGAAGCTAACAGGAGCAGGAAAGTCCATGAGACTCTTTATCTTCAATAAACAATTCAGAAAAGGTCAGAATTGGTGCTGTAGAGCACTGGCTTTGAGCACAAAGAGGCTAAGGGACAGCACCCAGGCCCTGAGTTCAAACCCTGTGACCAACCAAAAAAGAAAACTTGATTGGCATTGACATACATTTTCCCTCTTAACTGTATTCTATAGATGTTGCTTTATTATTTCTGGCTTTGAATATTGTGTCAAACTGGTTTGCTATCCTTAGAAAGGAAGCAGAAAGCATACGTAACTTTTTTTTCTTTGTAGTATAATAATTTTTCAGGCTATATCTAAGAGTTGACCAATTCAGATTTATTTAACTTGGTACATGGTATACTCTTACTTTATATTATTTCACTGAGAATCCAACCTAGGGCCTGGTGAATGGTAGGCAAGCCTGTTAGCACTGAACTTAGTATGTTCTTTCACTATGTAAATTTGGGTCTTCTTCCCCCCCCCCCAAACAAAAGTGTCATTGAATGCTAAAGATACCCAAATGGTAAAACACTTGCCTCCGCAAGCCACAGCACAACAAACAAAAGTGTGATTGAATTTGAATTATGATTGTTAAATATTGTCTTCCATTACTTTGGTTTTCATCTTTAAGACATATAGTAATCCTGTTGGGTCTTGTATGGTTTCTTTTTTTTTTCCATTTATTTATTTGAGATGCAGATTTGTTGTGTTGTTCAGGCTGGTCTTAAAGTCCTGGGCTAAAGCAATCCTTTTGCCTCAACCTTACAAATAGCCAGGACACAGGAATGTACTACTGTGCTTGACTCAGATTTATTTTTTGTTTTGTTTTTGTCAGTCTTGGGGCTTAAACTCTGGGCCTGGGCGCTGTCCCTCAGCATTTCAGCTCAAGGCGGGTATGTGCTCCACCACTTGGGCACAGTGTCACTTCGAGTTTTTCTGGTGGGTAATTGGAGATACGAGTTTCATGGTGTTTCCTGTCCAGGCTGGCTTTGAACCATGATCCTCAGATCTCAACCTCCTGAGTAGCTAGGATTACAGGTGTGAGCCACTGACACCTGGCTCTGGTTTGTTTTTGTTGTTGTTGTTGGTGGTGGTGGTGGTAGTCATGGGGCTTGAACTCAGGGCCTGGGCTCTGCCCCTGAACTTTTAACTCAAGGCTAGTGCTCTACCGCTTTGAGCCATAGCTCCACTTCCAGTTTTCCAGTGGCTAGAGACAAGAGTCTCATAGATGGGCTGGGAAGGTGGCTCAGTGGTAGAGCGCTTGCCTTGCATGCTCAAGGCCCTGGGTTCGATTCCTCAGCACCACATAAGAAAAAAGAAAAAAGCCGGAAGTGACGCTGTGGCTCAAGTGGTAGAGCGCTAGCCTTGAGCTGAAGAGCTGAGGGACAGCGCCCAGGCCCAGAGTTCAGGTCCTACGACCGGACCCCCCCCCCCCAAAAAAAAAAGAAGAGTCTCATAGACTTCCTGTCTCGGCTGGCTTTGAACCATGATCCTCAGATCTCAGCCTGCTGGGTAGCTAGGATTACAGGCATGAGCCACAGGTCATGAATGTCTAGTTTCTATATCACTGTTTTTTAATTTTTTAAATCATTTATAGTCTTTCTTTCTTTCTTTCCTTCCTTCCTCTCTCTCTCTCTCTCTCTCTCTCTCTCTCTTTCTTTCTGGCTTGAACTCTGGACTTGGGCACTGTCTCTGCCCTCTTCAGCTCAAGGCAAACACTTTACTGTTAGAGCCACAGCGCCACTTCCAGTTTTCTGGTGGTTTATTGGAGATAGGAGTCTCAAGGACTTCCTTGCCCAGGCTGGCTTTGAACCACCATCCTCAGATCTCAGGCTCCTGAGTAGCTAGGATTACAGGCATGAGCCACTGGCACTTGGCTTTTATAGTGTTTTTTTTTTTTGGGGGGGTCCGGTTGTGGGGCCTGAACTCTGGGCCTGGGCACTGTCCCTCAGCTTTTCAGCTCAAGGCTAGCACTCTACCACTTGAGCCACAGCACCACTTCTGGCTTTTTTGCTTATGTGGTGCTGAGGAATCGAACCCAGGGCCTCAGGTATGCAAGACAAGCGCTCTACCACTGAGCCACCTTCCCAGCCCTTATAGTGTTTCTTTTTTTTTGTTTGTTTCTTATAGTGTTTCTTACTTCCATCTTATACATCTGGTTCAAGCTATTCTTTTTTTTTTCCTCTCTTCTTTTTGTTCTGGTCCTGGGGCTTGAACTCAGGGCACTGTCCCTGAACTTCCTTTGCTCAAGGCTAGCACTCTACCACTTGAGTTGCAGTTTTACTTCCAGATTTTTCTATGGTTAATTAGTGATAAGAGTCTTCTGGACTTTGCTGCCTAGACTGGTTTCAAACTGTGATCCTCAGATCTTAGGTCCTGAGTAGCTAGGATTATAGTCATGAGCCTGAGCCACTATTACCCTGCTAAGCTATTCTTTTTGTTGTTGATTTCAGGTCACATCTCCTTAGGACACAGATGTGTGTGCACAGAGTTTTTGGAGACTGCTCTTGGGATGAACACTTGTGATGACAAAGTGAAGGAAGGAGAATTGGACAAAAAACAGCAGCTGAATTCAACAATGTGCTGGTAAATGTTTCACATTGAGTTCTCAGGAGAACAGCTTTGATCCATAACATTTGATAATTCCTAATGTATAAATACTTCTATTATAGCAGATTTTGAGATAGCAACAGGATGTTACTAAAATATATTTGGGGGCTTGGAATGGCTTAGTGGTAGAGTGCTTGCCTAGCATACATGAAACCCTGGGTTTGATTCCTCAGTACCACATAAACAGAAAAAGCTGGCAATGGTGCTATGGCTCAAGTCATAGAGCACTAGCTTTGAGCAGAAAATCTCAGGGACAGCAACTTGAGTTTAAGCTCCATGACCGACAGGAAAAAAAAGTAAACATATATTTGGGAAGAAATGGATAATAGTGCCCATGCTGATACAACAGAAATAATCCCTACCACAGAGATAACACTAAATGTAGTAAAATAATTAGGAGTACAAGTGTTGGGTATTTATTATCTTAGTTTTTGAATATAATTAAATTTAATATAATTATAATTAAATTTAACATAATTAAATTTAGCTGATTATAATTTGTTTTAATAATGGCTGCATTTAACACCCTGTTATACAATACCTAAAAATGTAATAGTTTGGTGGGGGAAGGGTTGGAGAGGTGGGGAGGAAAGGGATGGTAGGGGAAAAACAAAGGAGGGAGTGACAATGCTCAATAGGAAATGTACTCATGTAACTGTAACCACTCTGTACAGTATCTTTTTTTTTTTTTTTTGTGGTCATGGGCCTTGAACTCTGGGCCTGGGTGTTGTCCATCAGTTCTTCAGCTCAAGGCTAACACTCTACCACCTGAGCTACTGCATCACTTCCGTTTTTCTGAGTGGTTTATTGGAGATAAGAGTCTGTTGGACTTTCCTGCTTGGGCTGGCTTTGAACCGTGATCCTCAGATTTCAACCTCCTTAGTAGCTAGGATTATAGGTGAGCCACGGACACCCAGTTGTACAGTATCTTTACAATAAAAAATATATATTAAAAATGTAATAATTTGATGGCACAGGCCAGTAGGGTGCAGTTCTAGTTTATCATTGGCCATACTGTGATTACAACAAAAGTCTCAGCTCTTCCCATGAGGACCTTTGAAATAAGATAGCCCTTCCAGTATGTCTACATATAGCCAAAGACTTCTGCATTAAGGAATAAATCCGGCATTGTAATAGGTAGGAAAAGGGTATATGTAATCTTAGGGTGACGAAGTTTTGCACCTCAGAGAAAGAAGTTCTCAGAGGAGCATTCATTCAACATTACCCGTAACTGCAAGTATGGCTACTTCACTTCTGAAATGTGCTTCCAGGGACACACTAGAGTATCTTGTATACTTGTATGCTTTGTAGTTTTGTTTCCTACTTTAGGACAGCATTTCTCATGTTTGCATGAATGACCTGTAATTCTTTTTTGGTACTAACTTTGGGATACTGAATTTTGTTGTTGAGGATGGTTGTGGGGCTTGAACTCTGGGCCAGGGCACTGTCCCTGAGCTCTTAAGCTCAAGGCTAGTGGTCTACCACTCGAGCCACAGTACCACTTCCTGTTTTCTGAGTGGTTTATTGGAGATAAGAGTCTCATAGACTTTCCTGCCCAAGCTGGCTTTGAACCACAACCCTCAGATCTCAGCCTCCTGAGTAGCTAGGATTACAGGCATGAGCCACTGGTGCCCCGCAGGATACTGAATTTTGTAGTTATTAATATTCATGTTTGAATGTCAGATTTTTCAGGATCAACTTTTGACAGTGCTTGCAAAGAGAATGGTTGTGTTTGTTTTTCTTTAAACCCAGCTCCTTGGTGCCCTCTTCTGTTGTTACAGTGAAGAGCAATTTTCTTTTTTTCTTTCTCCTTCCTTCCTTCCTTTCTTTTTTTTTTTTTTTGGGTCCGGTCGTGGGGCCTGAACTGTGGGCCTGGGCGCTGTCCCTCAGCTCTTCAGCCCAAGGCTAGCGCTCTACCACTTGAGCCACAGCGCCACTTCCGGCTTTTTTCTTTTTGCTTATGTGGTGCTGAGGAATCAAACCCAGGGCCTCAGGCATGCAAGGCAAGCGGTCTACCACTGAGCCACCTTCCCAGCCCTTTCTTTTCTTTCTTATGCTAGGCTAGCACTCCACCACTAAGCCACATTCCCTGCCCAAGGAGCAATTTTCTGAATTACAGTGTTCTTCCTCTGATTTCCTATTCTTGTTTTTCCAGTAATATGTTAAGAGGAACCATTATTTTACTTTCCACAAGTCCTTTGTGTGTGTGTGTGTGTGTGTGTTGCTATGATTAGGTTCTCAGCTGTTCCCACTATGGCTTGGTCTCCTTTCTGAGAGTGAACTCTTTTTTATTTTATCTGTTTCCACTAGTGATGCTTCTTCATCTTCCCCTGCTCTCTTAAGCAGTTCCTCCATATACTTGGAATTGTTGGGAGGTCTCCAGTATAGTTTTCCTAACTTACAATGAATTCACGATTGCATAATTTTTTTTCTGTATTAAATGAGTCACAGGAATATAAATTCCATTTACTTTATTCATTGTATTGTTTTAGGAGTATGCAAGGGAAGTGTCACATCAACCTAGACAGTTTTCTGTTGTTCTTTGTTTTTGTTTCTTTGAGAGGGGATCTTGCTCTGTAGCCCAGGCTGGCTTTCAGCTCCTTACAGTCTTGGCTCAATCTCCTGAGTGCTGGAATTATGGAATTTATCATCATGCTTCACTCACTGTTTATTGCATAAATAATATTAAGTATATTTTAATGTTGTGTTTATATGAAGCATAATACATACATTATATGTATACCTAGTTTATTGCCCTTATTTTGCTTCATTTCTTGCACAGTCTACATCTTCTGTACTTTTTGTGTGGTATCTACTCCTTGGATAAAACTACTGGGATGAAGCTAGGCACTAGTGTTTCATGCATGTAATTCTAGCTACTCCAGACAGTTGAAATCTGAAGGTTCATGGTTCAAGGCCAGCCTGAGCTAACTGAGGTAACGTCAAAAAGCAGACTGGAGCCGGGCGCTGGTGGCTCACGCCTGTAATCCTAGTTACTCAGGAGGCTGAGATCTGAGGATCTCGGTTCAAAGCCAGCCCGGGCAGGAGAGACCGTGAGACTCCTATCTCCAATAAACCACCAGAAAACTGGAAGTGGTGCTGTAGCTCAAGTGGTAGAGCGCTCGCCTTGAGCTGAAGAGCTGAGGGACAGCGCCCAGGCCCAGAGTTCAAGCCCCACGACTGACAAAAAAAAAAAAAAAAGCAGACTGGAGGCTCAGGTGGTAGAGCTCTTGCCAGAATTCCGGAGGCATAGGCTACAGTAGGTTCAGTTTCAGGCTGGAATAGGTTGCATAGTGAGACCTTGTCTTAAAAAAAATAAACCAGGGCTGGGAATGTGGCTTAGTGGCAGAGTATGCATAAAGCCCTGGGTTCAATTTCTCAGTACCACATACATTGAAAAGGCTGAAAGTGGTACTGTGGCTCAGGTGGTAAGTGCTAGCCTTGAGCAAAAGAAGCTCAGAGACAGGGCCCAGGCCCTGAGTTCAAGCCCCAGAACTGGCAATAAATAGATATTTTTTTTTGAAGACTACTAACCAACTGAAGGACAACAATAGGAGGGAGGGAATGAGAGAGATAGAGGGAACGGCTAACACTAAGCAGAAGGAAAGTAATATACACATCACTTGATGTGGAATAGCTGTATTGTCAAAGCTCAGAATTCACAAACTTTATAGACCACAATAATGATAATTTGCCTCATGAAGGTTAGAATGTTTGTGACTTTAACTAAGTATCACTATCTCACAATACTCACAATACTATGAAATTAGTGAAATTTATGTAATCACTTAATCACAATAAAAAAAACACAACCCCAAACCAAAAACTGCTGGTTTGCACCAACTCACAATTCTGTTATTGTTAATGATAATGATATTGTTTGAACAATTGTTTTTCTAGGATATATATTTAGAAGATCAAATCTTGGGCTCACAGGACACACTTTTACCACAGGACTTCTAAGGGACTTTCCCAAAATTGTTACAGTTCTACATGCAGACCACAAGATGTCACTGTTCTTGCATATTCATACCAAGTTTTGATTTCTGCCTCTTAAATTTTGCCGTGGGGGTGGAGGGTGGAGGTGGGGGTAGGCACTGTCTTTTGTTTTTGCTCAAAGTTAGCAGAGTTCTGCTACTTGAGCCTCAGCTCGATTTGTAGCTGGTTTCAAATTACAGATTACAGTCCTCAATTCTTGAACTCTGGGCCTGGGCACTGTCCCTCAGCTCTTCAGCTCAAGGCTAGCACTCTACCATTTGAGCCACAGCTCTACTTCTGACTTTTTCTGCTTATGTGGTACTGAGCAATCTAACCCAGGGCCTCCTGCATGCAAGGCAAGCACTTTGCCACTGAGCCACCTTCCCAGTCCCCAGTCTTCCGTTCTTAGCCTCCTGACTAGCTAAGATTACACGTGTGAGCCATAGGCACCTAACAGCATTAATTTTTTTTTAATTTAATTTAATTTTATTTGAGAACATACTGTACAAAGGGGTTACAATTACGTGGGCAGGATAATGCATACATTTCTTACCAAGCATTGCAGCCTCCTCCTTTGTTTACCCTTCACTCCCTTCCCAGCCTCCCCCCTCCCCCCCACCCAATCATACCCCCCCCCCAGCATTAATTTTTTGTCAGTTGTAGGGCTTGAACTCAGGGCCTGGCTGTCCTTGAGCGCTTTTGCTCAAGGCTAGTGCTCTACCACTTTGAGCCACAGCTTCACTTCTGTTGTTTTGTCAGTTCTGGTTCTTGAGCTTGGGGCCTGGGCTCTGACCCTGTGCCTCTTTGTGCTCAAGACTAGCACTCTACCACTTTGAGCCACAGTGCCATTTCTGGTTTTTGAGTGGTTAATTGATATAAGTCTCACAGGGACTTTTCTGCCCAGGCTTTGAATCATGATCCTCAGATCTCAGCCTCCTGAGTAGTCTGGATTACAGACATGAGCCACCAACACCCAGCTTTTTATTTCATGTTTAAAG